TGGGCAGAATTGTCTGTGACATGGAACGCGAACACAAACTTTCCTTTTATTTTATAATTTGGACAGTATTAAACTCAATTCGAGATCAATATATACCTCCTGAAGGCCCGCATTCATGGCATTGGAAAATGTTCGTGACTCTCTTTGTCCGCCATCTTGAATCTCTTGTTTGTTGTGAAACACAACACTCCAACCAAAACACGCCTTCTCGTTGGTTGAAACGTGAGTTTCGTGACATCACAGATGTTCTAATTTATCGGGATATTCCGGACTGTTCAGCAGGCGAAACTGTTGAAGAAATTTTCGAAACGTCGGCTGACAAAGGCGAGGCGAAAGATTACGAAAAAGCGGTGAAGGCTTTGAACGATTATTTCATTCCAAAGGTAAATTCGACATATCAACATTACCTGTCCCGCAGTATGGAACAACAGGACGGCGAAACTGTGGCTCAGTTCGTGACACGATTGAGGCTAGTAGTCAAGGATGTATCAATATGTCAGAGAGCACTTAACAGACATAAGAAAGGAGAGACCTTGTGATAAACAACAAGTCATCTTTTAATGGCGGGAAGATCACACTTTTCGCACATCCGGGTATCTCTAAATACGGGTTTAACAAATAAGGGCATATCATGCAACATGTCACAAAGGACTGTGACTGCGGCGAACAAGGTGAAAACCAGATTCGTGATCAAGTCGTGCAGCGATGTAAATCACATGAATTAAGGAAGAAACTACTGGTAAAAGGTGAGAAATTAACCTTACAGCTTTTACTTTAGACGGCAGCAAATCACGAGCGAGTTCGATCACAGCTGGAGAATATGGAGGGCAGAAAGTATGTGAATTCGGTCCGCGACAAGCAGGAAGACAAAGGGAAAGAGCCTCTAACGCGAGCATGAGTGGAAAAGTAGGACATTTTGGACGAGACTCTGAATGCCTTGGGAAAGGAAAAATGTGCCATAAGTGCGGAGGAGCTGACCATTTTGGTTCGCAGAGTAGAACGAAAACAGCCAAACCTCCCAAAACTAGACTGAAACTAAGAGACGACAAAAGGAAAGAAAGTTAGGTATGTGAGAAGTGAAAGAGATGAAGATGAGTATGCATTTACTGTGAATTCTGATACATCACCTGAGAAAATAGATGTGAATGTCGGTGGAGTTGTAGTTGCGATGTTGATTGATTAGCACGAATCGAAAGATAGATCTTGCGATTACAGCCATACAAGTTCCAAGTCAAGTACCCACCTGGCGAGCAGAACATTGCTGATCCGTTGTCACGCTTACTGCATGCGAACGAGCAAGCAGAATCTTCATCAGCGCCAAGGTGTCAGATGAATTTCTCAGGTTTGTCCCAGCAACTGCCACTCCTCAAGCGATGATAACACGTTAAATTGAAGAAACCTCATCAGAGAGCAGAGAGTTCGTGGAATTGCGTCAGCACATTGAAGAGAGAAACTGAAAAGGCGATCAGCACAAGCAGTACATACGAGTATGCGGCGAACTGTGTGTTATTAGCAAGTGAATTCTTCGAGGTACCAGGATTGTCATACCGAGCAAGTCGAGACCTCGAGTACTGAGCCTTGCGCATGAAGGACACCCAGGAATTGTCAGTATGAAGCAGAGATTGCGATCAAAGGTATGGTGGTTTGCGATCGACAAGGAAGCCGAGAAGTTTTGCAAAACCTGTCATGGCTGTCAGCTTGTAAGCAGTCCAGCAAACCCAGAGCCAATCAAGTCAACCCCATTACCAAGTAGCCCATGGCAAGATTTGGCCATCGACCTGTTAGGTCCATTGTCATCAGGAGAATCTGTCTTAGTCATCGCTGATTACTTCAGCAGATACTATGAAGTGGAACTGATCATGCGTTCGACTACGTCAGAGAAAGTCATAGAGTGTTTGGAGAAAATCTTCACCACACATGGTCTTCCTCAATCATTTCGAAGCGACAATGGTCCACAGTTCAGATCAGCAATGTTTGAGCGGTATTTGGAGGATAACGATATAGAGCACAGGAACACCACACCATTGTGGCCACAAGCGAACGGCGAGGTTGAATGACAAAACAAGTCCCTCCTCAAGAGCATGAAAATAGCTCAAGCTGAGGGAAAAGAATGGAAGAAGGAAGTTGGCAAGTATTTGGTACCATATAGGTCAACCCCTCATACTACCACAGGTGTGAGTCCAGCAGAACTCTTGTTTGGTAGAAAGATGCTACTAAACTACCTTCACTGAGAGAGGAGAGCACACAGGGTGAGATGCGAGACAGAGATGGCGTAATGAAAGCCAAAGCTAGACAGTATGCAGACAAGAAGAGGAGTGCCCAGGAGTCAGACCTAGCTCCAGGTGACAAAGTGTTAGTGAACTGAAGAGCGCAAAAACAAGTTGTCAACACCATTTGCTCCTGAGCCTTATGATGTTGTAACCAAAACTGGAAA